CACTATGAAAATTAGAAAAAAAGATAAATGGAAAATGTGATCTATGGTTTTATCCTTGTGCAGGACACTGCATTGTGTCACTAAAGGAGGCACTCAGACGGGCTAAGGAGCTGAAGCATGACTTAGTTGAGGTGAAATATTAGTAATTCTATAACTTGTTTCTGATCATTGCAGATCTCTGCCTTTATTTGTATCATATCAATGCCTCTCTAAAGGGTTACATATTTACATATTTCTAGGTCCAGAGAGATGCTAACCCACCAGTGTGTAAAATTGTAGACTACGCACATGACAAGTACAAAAAGTCTCAACTAGGAAAGGAGCGTGCTAAGGCCAAGGTCAGTGATTCATACTGTCAAATTCTCCATCTTTTCTTTTTTGTTCGTATGGAAATATTACTTGTCTTTGCGTCCTGAGTTATGGTTTAATACCTTGTTCTAGCGAGCTGAAGTAACCATTCGACCTGAGGTCAAGGAAATTCGATTTACTCCAAAGATCGTACGTTCCTCTTGAAAAGCCTTTTCTCTTTCTTTCTTTTTCATCTCAGTGATCATGAAAATAAACTACAAACGACATTTTTCTTTTTCTCTCTTTAGGATGCAAAGGACTTACAGTTCAAAGCAAAGCAAGCAACGAAGCTGATGGAAAGTGGATATCGTGTCAAGGTATAAAAATCAAACTCCCAAACTTGAAAAAAAAGTAAATATCTTTGTTGAGCAATTTTTCATGTATCTCTCGTTTGTTCTTCTCTGTTTTGTTTTGTTTTGTTTGTTTTGTCTTGTGCAACAGTGCCATGCAGTTCCTGACAAAGACAAGAAGAAGGAGCTTGAACCAGAGAAGCTGCTTGAGTTATTATCTCGCTTCACTTGTTATGTAAGTCTCCTCTACTTTTCTTATCTAGTTTTCCTGTCTTTGCTTTGGTTTAAATCATCGCGGCTTGGATAGATTGAAGATGCACTTGTGGAGTTTGGGCCAGAGGCGGATAAAGGTAACGCTGTTGTGGTAGTTAGGCACGCCAAATTTGGACCGCCTAAGAAAGGAAAGGCGATAAAGCTCAAGGAAATGAACATAAAAACGGCAGCAAGAATAAAAGATGATTCACCAAAGCTTGAGAGCTCAGAAGCTGATGATGATGATGATGATGAGAGAGTAGTTATAGAGACACCCGAACCAGTTAAAATCCAGAACAGGTATGCAAAAAGTGAACCGGACAATGACTTCTCAGGAGGTAGAGATGCAAACCGGTTTGAACCAGAACGTCCCCGGTTCCAAAACCAAGCTCCAAACCAACAACCCAATGGGGGGTTAAATCTTCAGTCTCCAAACCAGCCTCCAGGTCAACAACGTTCTCGTTATCCAAACCATCAACCTACTGGGAGGTTTGATCCTAACCAGCCTCCAGGTCCAACACAGCCTCGGTTCCCAAGCCAACAACAGGCTGGACGGTTTGATCCTCAGTCTCCAAGTCCACCACGGCCTCGGTTCCCAGACCAAACTCCAAATCAGCAACCCTCTGGGCCTCCAAACAGCCACCTGGACCAGCAAGGTCCTCCACCTCGATTCCAAAACCAGTATCCAAATCAACAAGCTACAGGTCGGTTTGGAGTCCAGCCGCCACCCCGAGCTCCACCACCACCGCGTCCACCAACCCGGTTGCCAAATGAAACTTTGAACCAACAACCTACAGCCCCTGGAAGAGCTACGGGTGAGGCTCCTAGTTATGGGATTTTCAGCACCCCAAATACAAACTAGGACCAGCCTATTTAAAAGAAACCCGTAGGACTCTCATTATTTTTTGTATAACTAATAGTCCAATGATTCATACACTTGTAACTCTCATTCAACTTGTTTTGCTCATCTTTGAACAACAAGGTTTGGGAGCCATTTGATTCCGTATAAAATATACTATTGAGGTAATTTTATTTAATAAAGTGAATGAATAATATGGAAAATCAGAAAATAGTAAAGATGCAAAACCCTTCAAATGGGGCTTGTCTTGGAGTTTTACTTTTCGTAGGCAGAAAATGCAAATGCAAACCACCAAATCATAACTAATATAAAATATGACTTGTATGTAGTTTTTTTTTTGAAGATTTGAAACCATTTCAGTAATTAAAATTTAGTTGATTGTTTGAAATTTGTTGAAAGGAAAGATGATGAATAAGGTGATTTATATAGATGAAGCTGAATATGAATGTTCATTTAGTTCATTTAAATGAAACATCAACATGAATCTATTCTATTAAATTAGAAACATCACCAGTTGAGATACGTTTGGTACAAATTAAAATGTAACTGCATCTATAATATAAACTGAATAACTGCATCTCAACAGTTAGTGAAGGTATTTAATTATTTTAGATTCATTTGTAAAACTTACATGACATGAAATAAAAAAAATACAAAAATTATAAAAAGTTGCTATTATTATAAAAGTGGATTAACTGAAGTTTCCATTAAAATAATATTTATTTTCGTAAAACATTCACACGGTACGTCAACAACCTTTTTCATGTATATATTTACATTTTAATATGCAAGTGATAGTAATGAATTGGTGTAATTGTGGTAGGGCCTCGATCTCGATGGCTATGAGTGTGGTTTATGGTTGAAAGCCGTCTCTAATATAACTGTTGAGATTTGGGTTGGCCAGCTGAAGCTTGTTTCAATATAATCTATTCCATTTCAGATAATACTATATGTTTTTTTACCAAAAAAAAATAATACTATATGTTTTATGATATATGTATATATAATCGCGATTACCCGGGGAATCATATTTAACAATTAGTATTTAACATTTAGTATTTGTTTAATTTTTATTAGCTAAAAAAAAACTTATTATTAGCTAGGCAATGACGTAAATAATATACAGTACGTAGTTTCCTCATTCACGAGAATCACATGCAATGCTGCACTTCGCGCCGTAGCAGAGTGTGTTTAAAAATCTCTTATTATAAACATAATTAAGCACTATATGTTGATACCAATCATATTATATATTGGTAATATAAGAACACGACATTGATCTCATTAGTTTAACTCTTTCGATGACTCAACATCCCACTTATACCTATAAATTAAATATATTTACCATAAAATAAAATAAAATAAAAAATAATTTTTACGATCGTTCATGAAGACAATATAATCGAAGTTGGACCATCGGGTTCGTTGGGATTAATTTCCGTCTACGCTAGTGTCCTAAAATGTTGGAAAGCACCACCACCGACCCAAATTACAGAAGAATACAATCAAAACATACCAATAGTTTTTTTTTTGTGAACCAATTAATTAACCAATGGAAAAAAAAACTAACCAATAATTTGCTCAACCAAAAGAGATATTCCGTGTACTAGTTTATACTAATACGTGTTGATATGCACAACGTTGAATGTGTTTGCCCAATATATATATATATACGACGTTAATCGGTTAATGTAAATATCATCATCATATATTTCTTCTAACTAGTTTATGAAGTGTTCTAAAAAATTGCAAATTTAGTGGTTACATACAAAACTGCCCCCATTAACATCCAATAGAGATGAGCAATAACGAGCATATGAAAGATTAGCGTGGAGAATATGCTCTTCCCAAATAATGCATGATGCATGCGATACTTAGAAAATAAGTGTATTATCTCATTAATTAAAAAATAAAACCCTATCTCTTGTCAGCATCTTTTTGATGCAACAATGTTTTTTTTTGGTTTGAATAAATTTAACATTCATATAAAAAAAAGTATCATATATGTAAATTTTGTTTGATATCATCTTAAAGTTTGGTGATGTTACAATTAGTTGAAATCAACAGATTTTCGCTGATAAATATTTAGCGTGAGTCCAATCCTAAATAATTTTCTAATGGATAGCTTCCGGTTTGTAGTTATAAATTCTGAATAAAGATATTTTATAAACAAACGAACCTGTTTACCCCTAAGCTCATTCATATTTGTTGATTTTTGGGAATACCAATCCCCACGTTAATGCATATGTACACATTGCTGAACCGGTGGGTCCATGCAACATATAGACATTCAGATACAGTCTCTTTCTCCAAATTTTCAGAATAAAAACTCGATACATTTTGATCAAAAAAAGAACTCGATACATCGAACTATATTCTTCACGTTGTTAAAGTAATGTTCTTGGTTAAAGACGCGCATGCACATATTACGTATTTGTCTTTTATATATTCGTACTCGTTCGCATGAATATATTTTGTAAACTATAGATGTGGACCATGTGATGATAGTGGTCGATTAGAAGTGGTGGCTGTCACATGGTATAATAACTTTTTATATATAATTCTTCACTATAATAGGCAGTTAATTGTGTGCGCTAAAATAGAAAACCTTTTACTTCCTCTAATATGCAAACATGCTTGGACTCAGAGCCTACGACATTACAGTGCTAATTATTGCTTTCTTTGTTATTAGAGTACTACTTGTTGTAATTCTTTGGGTTACTATCATACTTGGGGGCGAGTTGATATTTGTTAATCATAAACAGGTCAACTAAATATATGAAAAGAAGAAGCCAAAACCAAAATTCTTCATTTTATAATGGTAAGCCAAGTCTAGTCCAATCAAAAATAACTACTTGTTTTTCATTCATATATTTAAATCATATTAACCAATTTTATGTGGATTTTGATTATTTAATTTACATTATTCAAATTTATATATTATATATTTTATTTTATATCTTGAGGATATTTAAGATATATTTGAGTTTTTGAAAATTTTACATAATTTAAATGAATACAGAAAGTTGAATTGAATCCACACAATGATCGTAACTGAATTTGAACCAAAAAATATATATATAGTCAAATGAATAATAATAAATCTTTAACCTCCTAAAACCGAAATGTGAATAGACGTGGAATGGATACCCCCAATGCCCACCTTATTACTAGAGATACTCTTCAATAAGCAAACTTCATTAAAAGTTTTACCAAAAAGAAAACTTCATTGTAAACAAATTTGTGTGGTTGAACAAAAAAAAAAACAAATTTGTGTAACGAATCAATATTTTATCATTGCTATTTGGGTGGACAGTACATGTTTCTCATTCCTTGTTTGGCATAGTTGAGCCCAACTTTTGGCCCAGTAAGACTTTATACTCGTCGCTGGAATTGAGAAAATCCAGCCAACTTTTTCCCATACATACATGAGTCATGACAACCAACAATGAGCATAACATTTGAAATAATTGATTTAAAGAAGGGGAGAATTACAATACAAAAGAATTTCAATAACCTAATTGATGAACAGAACAAAAAGAAAGAAAAAGAAAACTAAACAACAAACTTCATATCTATGTTAGGAAAAAACGTCTTCCCAAAAAGTATTTCAAGATCATTCTCTAAGGGAGTTAGATTCAAATCCAAAGACAAAACCCTCTTGCTACTACTGCATCGTTTCAGAACCGGCACGTTAGAAATCACGGGAGAGATAAGCTGAGATGGCTCCACCGTGATGCTTGTTGACCTATGCCGTCTCATGTGACCGCCTAAAGCCTGTCCAGTCCCAAAACTCTGACCGCATATCGAACATTCGTGCGCATGTGTCCCCTTATAATTGCTGGTAAGATGTTTCACTTCTTTCTGGTCAACCGTTAGCTTTGGCTTCTTATGGCTTGCACGGTGTCCACCAAGGGCTTGAAACGAAGAGAATCTCTTGTTACACGTTTTGCATTCGAACCGGTTACTTGTATTTCTCTCGGTATATTGGTTTACACCAATATGTTTGACCATGGAGGAGGTTTGTGATAGTATCATTAGACATTTAGCAATGTCTAGATTCTTGATGGAATCTTCGAACTCAGATCGTTCTCTCTTCATATTATCTTTCTTTTTTGGTAAGGTTTCAAGAATTCAAGAAAGCAAAGTAAATTAAGGATAGAGTTTTTTTTTTTTTTTTCACACAATGAATTGAGAGAGAGTTTGTAATGAAAATTGAGAACATAGAAGTAATGTATATTTATAAGAGTAAGACCTAAAGGTTTGAATTTCTTGTAGTTTGAACAAAAGAAGTCGTCTAAACTAATATTCTAACAACAAGTAGCACTGATTGTTTGACTTAGGACAAAAATTGACATTTTCAATTTCGCCCTTCCAACCACCGAACGAAAATGGATATACCACATGGGTTGAATAAAAAAATTAATTTCGTCTTTTCTCGTACTGCACCACTAAGTTGTTGCCTCTTCGAAACTTCGATTGCTAAACACAAATGTTAATCAAAACGAAAAGAAGCATAGTCAACAAATGTATACAACACAGAACAGATCTAACAACTTAGTTTCTCATTGACTTGCTTGCCACCGTCATTAAATTAATATCACCTAACCATCGATATATACTATAAATTATAGGGTCTCTAAATTATATGCTAATCTTTTGTTTCCAGTAATCATTGGAAAGTAACAGCCGTCACGTATAACCTCATGTAACATACAACGGTTAAAGAAAAAAAGTCATCCAATGGGGACAAAGTTTGATCATATCCCAATACAGACGTCAAAACAATTAATCTTAAAAGTTCTTTTTTTTTGGCAGAATCAAAATCAAATACAATCATCACTACGTTTGAAGAGAAAATTCATTTTTGTTTAATTGACTTTGTTCAAACACATGCACTGGAGACTGGAGACCAACTTAAAGCCATAGAATAAAAGTACAAATAATACAATGTATTATTAATACATAGTCCATTCTAGATGGCAAGGGCTCGAGAGATAGTCAAGAACATCCTCTCTGTATTTTAAATATTGAGTACGTCACTGATGATGGAATTGTTATTAAATTATAGGTTTTGTACATAATCTCGATGCTCAAAACGTAAAAGAGTCAATGTCAGAGACTAGATATGGATAAGAAATTGCAAAGTGAATATGCAAATCATAAAAGAGCTTATGGACAGCAAATGTTGTGCGGCAACTCTGTTGTGTGCATCCTGTCACGGACAAGTGCACAACAACTAGCACGAAGATGATATGGTCAGCGTAATACATGCACAGATGATTCTTTCAGTAAACAGCTAACAACTTCTATAAAGTTCAGATGCTCCGTTCTCTAAGATGAATCCAAATGTATGAGTTTGGTGAAAAGAGCAAAATTATAACAAGTCAGACCTCTCCACCATGGATTTTATGATGAAACCTCAAAAAGTCTAATCTAATAGTCACATATACTTCTTGTGTGGAGCTTGAGTAGAGTCTATATGATTTATTTCATGGCTGTGAATAATAAGATATAACTATTGTTTACTAGGTTAGGTAGGTCATCTAAATTATATTGTCCTTGGTCATATTAGGTCAAGATAATATTAGTAAGAACGTTGTTTCCATAGAGTCAATGGTTAGGATGTGATGAATGAAGATTATTAAAAATTGAGTATACACCTAGTGGTATATAAAAGATGATTACATAAATGTGTTTATTTTGACTCTATTATACGTCAAAGCAAAGTAAGTAGTAGATTACATAAATCATAGATGTGTTTATTGTGACTCTATTATGTTTTCTTGAAGAGCAAACAAAGTCTAGATTACATAGATGTGCTTATTTTATGTTCATTTTCCCAGAGTGTTTTTGTTTGTCTCTTTTTACTTTTCTTTTTTCATATTTGGTTTATTCAGATGAGAAGATTAATCAATTTTAACCGATCCAACAAACTAATCCAGAACAACATAAGCTTGCGTACTACTACCATTTATAACCTTTACACACTCATACTCTTCTAGACTCATCCAGTTGATGAACTCAACTGCCAAAACGGGCACACTTTTTGTCTAACCAACCAATCATACGTTTACTTCCAGGAATGGAGTTCTGTTGTTAGCTTCGTCTTGTCCCTTGGTTGATCTCTTCTCCATGCTTGTGTCATTTTCACTGAGAATATTCTTCGAGAACAAAGTCCTCATCTCCTCAATAGACGCCAAGCTCGGCACATTTATAGGTAGTTTCTTTGGTGTTTCGTTCTTGCGCTGATCAACCTGGCCATTGTATTACAAAACTTAACTGTTATATATATTCTGGTTATAAATATGACAACACTACAATTCTTAGTGTTCTGTTGTACCTTATAGTCTTTTATGAGAGACTGTTCTGCTCTGTCTCTAATGTTTGATACACCTTGTCCATGATTCTCTTGCAATAACGTGACCTGCTTCAAGGAAGTCTCCACTATGGCATCCGTTATTTCTTTGTTCTCACGGTCTTGCATCAGCGAGTCTGTAAAACCAAGGATTAGTACGTTTTTTCTCAGTTTTGAGTAATGGACAAGGGTTTTTAGTGTTGTCACCATTAACAGCTGCATGAAGTTCATTAGTTCTACTGACAAAGTTAGCATCCATTGTAGAGAATGCAGATCTAAGTTCATTGTCCAGCTTGTCGTTTTCTTTCGCCATGTCCCTATACATTTAGAAAGTTTTTTTTCAACGAAGTGATGTGGAAGAAACATAGAAAGAAGTTACACATACAGAACGAGATATGTTACCCCGTTGTGACATTAAGTTCTTGTTGGTACTTCGTGTTAAGGTTCTTTACGCCTGTTTCAGTGGTCTCCCACAGTTTTTTAGACTCACTGCCCCATTCCAAGCTGAAACTCAGACAATGTATGTATGAGAAGCTAGATAACGGAGTGAAAGAAGTAGTAGGGAGATGGAATATGTACCAATCTTCAAGATAATGGTCCATGACTGTGATAGACTGTGCTGAAGCTATTGTGTTTTCTGTGAACTCGGTTTTTGCTTTCTTTAGATAGTCACACAGTTCCTTCTTTCCGCCAATGGAAACTTGCTGCATACAAGACAATTGTTCCTGCAATCTCTTCTCTTCCTGTATGTCGTGTTCTCGGATATTGCGTGATGCATCAGAGACCTAGAAACACGTAACTTAAGTGTGATACAACTGATATAGAATGAAGGAGAAGTAATTAATGGTTAAAGACTCACCATTGCAGATTTCTTTGAAGTTAACTTTGATAATATCAGACCAATGTCAACCAAAGCTTGTTTCTCCTCTCTTTTAGCGTCTTCCTGTTTTTAGTAACAACAGGTTTCTTGTGAGCCTCTCAAACCATATCTAACTGAGGTTTTTAGGAGTTTGTCCAAAGTCACCTTAAAATTCATTTCAAAAGCAGCTAGCTGTCTTGATTTCTCTTCTTGGCTTTCTCTAATGGCTATCACCATGCTGTGAGCTTGGTTGTAGATGTTACTGAAAATGGTTGAAGTTGTGTTTGAAATTTCTTGGGCTGATCTCATGCTTCTGACCAAGCCCTGGATTAAGAAGAAGCAGTAGTTAAATTCCTCAGAAAAGTAATTGAGCTTACAAGACACCAGCATTAAGTGATTTTACAACACCTGCTCTTGTTGTCGTGCAGCAAGAGCTAAGACCTCCTTCTGATCATTAAGTGAATCCCTGATGTCCTTAGCGACTCTAGCAGCCTCTGTTGCTGATGCACTGAGCAACTGCTCAACAGCCTCTATTTGTGATCCTATGGAAGAATTTATGTTCTCCAGATCAAAGGAAGCTTTCTTCTGAACCATTTCAGAGAGTTTCTTCAATGCTGCTACTCCTGAAGTGTAAGTATCTGCTGTTTTGCCAATTCTTGATTCCAGATCGCGTGTTGCCTGTGAGAGTTTCAACCACTAGTGTCATAAATTGGTCCAGTGCAAAAAAGAAAAGTGACATGGTATAGTCTTTTCTTACATCATATTTATGAGCGAGAAATGAATGATTATGTTCCTCCATAGTTCTTAACTGCTGTTGTTGCTGAGACACTGATCCAAGTACTGTTCTGTGTAGTTCTTTAAGGTTTTGATCAAGCTGGGAACCAAATTTCAGAAGCATGCTCTGGTTTTCTGATTCCAGCTTGTCCTTTTGATCTGCAGAGACAAGTAAAGTCAGCACTTGACAGACCTTGGTTACATCCCCAAACATAGGAAACAACTAGTACCTAGTCTTGTGAACAGTGAACTTATATCATTTGACGCATGCTGCAAATCAGAACGCAGCCCCTTTGCACAGTCGATCAAAGTAGTCTCTGTCCAAGAAAATATCAGTAACACGAATCAAACAACAAATAAACTCAAGTAATTGTTACCTGAGGCTTTCATTTTGGAGATGATGGCTTCCCTTTCATTCAGCTTTGAGATAACTTGAATATAATTCTCTTTGAGGTCATGCAACTCCTTGTTACTATTATCTAGGTTTTTCTGAACCATAAACGTTTCAAAATTTAAGACAACTCTCATTGTAAGCATGATAAAATCTAAAAAGTAAATCAGTGAAGTACTTATCACCTTGCAGTGCTTAAGGTCACTTTCTACATCCAGTAACTTTTCTTTCTCAGTCACGTAAAGGTCACGGAACTTGGAAGCTTCCTGCATAAGAGAAGCCACTTAAGTACCACCAGAGAAAATTGGTTTAGTTTCTTACAGATGGAAGAGAAAGGTGGGGGGCATACGTACACTTTCAGCGAGGTTTAACTCATTCTCCAACTGTTCTATCCTCTCCATTCTCGCCTGAAATAACAAAATGATTATTCTTGAGCATGAAGTGACTCAAGAATTAGTTAAAGCTTGTCCTTTGATTTTACCTTCTTTTCAGCCTCTTCTTGTGCATATCTTTCCTGTGCTATGTAAACACCATTTCTATCCCTTGCAGCTCTTACATCTGCCACAAAACGATTAGCTCATTTGATAAATACACATAAGAAAAGCAAGAGAACATAGACAGAATGTTATGTGTGTAAACCTTCTTTCATTCTCTCAAGCTCCAAGTAAAGGTCTTTAAGCAACACAGCCTTGGATAACTTCTGGTTTGCCTGCAGAGAGAGACAAGTTAAGTTAGAAGCATGAAGATGAAAAGTACACTAATACAAGATAGAGTAAACAAAACCTCAGGTTTGTTCTTTATGTTCTTAGCACGATACGCATAATCCAAAGTGCTTAAAGTTTCTTCCAAAGAATGAGCAGATGGTGAAATTGTAGCAATAATACAAGTCTTTGTCTTCCCTCCTAGAGAGTCCCTTAAAAGCCTTGTCAACTTACTATCCCTGCAAAGACAAAAACAGATCATCACAAACACATTCATATAAGTTGTAAAGACAGAGAGCAAGTTACCTGTAAGGTATATGAGAAGAATGTTCCACAAGCGCATTAATCACACGCCCTAATGTAAGCAAGCTCTTATTAATCTCCCCAGCTTCTCTCGCCCTACCATCCCTAGACCCTGACCTTAAAATATTCTCGGAACCCGCTAAATCCACAAGGTTAAGCTTCCCACATTTAATCAACTCCTCATCTCCCATAGACTCTTCCTTAATATGAACCGTGATGGTAAAAACTGAATGAGACCGACTGCTTCTTTTATTCAACAATGTATCCGCAGTGCGTCTTTTGGACGAGCCTCGTTCAAGAAGAGCGTAGATATCGTTGGCACTGTACACAACTTCTTCCTCAAGACCACGTAACACCACACAACCTTTCCCATCCTCCATCAGAGAAACAGGCTTCTTATTCTGCTTGTCGTCAGAAGAAGATCTTGAAGAGTCTTCTTGTGCTAACAAGTCTGTTACTTCTTCGTTGTATAGCTCCAAGAATGTGACTTTCATACTGTAATCAGCTTTTTGAGACTCGAGAGTTTCGAAAATGTGCCGAACAGCTCGCGGAATCACTCCAGCCTCTGCAGGTAAATCCCCTCCCTACACAACAACAACAACATGAGTGAATGAATCAAGTCACAACCACAAACACCAAAGACAAAATAAGTTTTCACACTCTTAAATAATCAAATTACAATATAAATAACGGTACTTTCATACATAATTTACAGCAAATTATTATTATAGACAGTAATTGTCTTAATTAATATGAGAAAAATAGATAAAAATCTATGAAATTACATTTAAAAACAGACAAATCTACAATCTTTGTGAAACGAATAAAAATCTCAAAAACTACTATCTTTGCGTGTGGAGATGAGAGAGGTACCTTTTTACGCATGCCACCTTCCATAGTGTAAGTCTTACCTGTACCTGTCTGACCATAAGCAAACACAGTGCAGCTAAAACCATCCAACACTTCATGAACAATAGGAGCAATAGCTTGGTCATATATAGACCTTTGCTGTGCTTTAGGCCCAAACACCTAGTCAATAAAAACATTTAAATCACACCATCAGACCTAATCTTTTACTACAAACTCATAACCAAAAAAAAATAACGAACCTTGTCGAAAGTGAAAAGACGGTCTACTTGCTTATTAGCAACAGTGACTTCTTTTCTGAGTTCGTTACAGGAAATGACTCTAGGGACATTCGATTTCTGCTCATCTTCGCTAAGAGGTCTGCAACGAAGAAGGACTTGAACGTTGACTTCTTTATCTCTGCTTTCGAGACGAGTGGAGAAAGAGGAGGAAGAGGAAGAATCAGGGCGTGATCTTCTCTCGGGACGAGGAGTGAAGAAGGGAGCGGGAGATGGGATCACTCCCACTCCGCTTTTTCTTGTGACATCCGGTGTGAAAGACATAACTGATGTCTGAAAAAAAATTAAAAAAATAGAATTGAAAAAAAAATCGAAATCTTCCTTTGATCAAATTGAGAAAGATTCACTTACAGAAACACAAGCAGGATCTTGAAGTGGAGACACGTAGAAGGAAAGATTTGGAATCGAACACAGAGAAAGCTCTTTAGGGTTCTTTGAGATTTGCAACGATGAAACTTTTGGTGTTTTCTTTTTTTGTTTGAAATTTGAAAAGTAACCGTTTGGGAATAACGTGTTTATATGGGCCAGGCTGGTTCTAATAAGTTTTGAATTACTTGACCAATACCACTATCTATCACCTTAATTTCAAAAGTTAAAAAAGCAAAAACTAATATGGTCGGCTAAGATTAACGTTCTTGTTTGATTCCCATTGTCGTTATGCAAATATATAAGTTACACAAATTTGATTTCAACAGATGTATGTGTTCATCAGGTTTTTATTTGTTTTTTTTTTTAATCATCTTTAGGATCAGATATGTTACCTGTCAAGTAATTGTTCTAATCCTCCACAAGTTTAAGAATTAACATGAAAGAAAAAGTAATATATTTTAGAAAATTTATATCTAATTTCTGATTTTATTTTTTCTTTTTTTTGGAAAAGGTTGAACTAAAACAAAATTATTGTTTTGGAAAATAGGATCAAGATTAATTTATTTGTTCAATACTGAATCCAATTAAGATGTGATTTGATTATCTGTCTTCACACTATTTATTTCTATTAGAAAAATATAATTTTTCTAATTAAAATTATGGCATGATATCACTTGATTTTGACATATATAATTCTTGTTTTATAAATATTCATAATTTTGGCAAAAAAATGAAAATTAGTATTATATCACAATTAAAATGAATTTCTCGTATAAAAAAGTTTGTGGCAAAAAAAATAGATATATACGAACAAATCTACGAAAAAGCTAGTAAATATGTCTAAATTAAGTAAATTTATGATTTTAATGACTCTATTATCTTCGTTCTAGGCCATTGTTACATGACCGTCAATTAATCTCTCATGTTATTAATATGATACATTAGGTTGATAGCATCATTACCACCCTGAGGAGGACTTTTAGTAAACTTTGATGGCAACACCGGAGTCATTACGAGAACCGTGTCCTGACCGTATCCTCGATGACATTGGTGGTGCTTTTGGTCTAGGAGCCGTTGGAGGATCAGCTTTTCATTTCCTTAAAGGGTCATACAACTCCCCGAAAGGTAGTCGCTGCATGGGAGGAATACAAGCAGTGAAAATGAATGTTCCTCGTTTGGCAGGCAGTTTTGGCGTTTGGATGGCTTTATTCTCGACGTTTGATTGCTCCATGGTGTTCCTCAGGCAGAAGGAGGATCCATTGAACTCCATCATTGCAGCTGCTGCAACTAGAGGGGTTCTATCGATGCGGCAGGGGCCTAGCATGGCTGCGAGATCAGCGCTTTTTGGTGCGGTTGCGATGGCTTTGTTCGAAGGAGCAATGATAACGTCGAACAAGATTCTGGATCAGTCTAAAAATTTGAAAATGGAGGAAGGAAGAAAGATGGTGAATAAGGAGCCGCAGAAAACGAGTAGCAAAAATGAAGCAAAGGTATTAGAGAGTTTTGATGCGCCTACGGTGCCATCATTTGATTACAAGTAAGCTTTGTTTATCTATCTTATATCATTGTTGTCTACTGTCTCTTTGTTCTAGGAAGAGTGAACAACACATTTTGTCTCCTTTTTCTCTGAAAGTTATGTTTTACAACTATTGTTGGATTTTAAATAATGTAGTTATAGATTCTTATAACGAATCCCATGAGCTTCATTGAAACATCTAGTCCAACGTTTAATGTTACCTTAACTCTAGTATCAGTTGTAGAGTTTTCTTCACACAAGACGCTAGTCCTGAAACTTATAATTAAGACTTGAAATGGTTACACACCAAATTCCATATGTTGAATACATATATTTTTTCTTAATCAGTTTAGGGATCGAAGATTTAGACAAATTAATCACTAATTTTTTTTTTTTTTTGATAAATGAATTACAAACACTTTATCTCGCTTTGTCCATGACGGACCATGTCTTCATCCAACAACTCAAAACACTATCAACCATGTAAACATAACAAGTTCTTGATACTGCTAGAGCTCTCGGAAACCTCATCAAACTGTAGAAATATCAAATCTTTTGGACAAAGGATTTTTATTGAAGCTATTTACATAATAAAACGTGCATGAACTCAATCCATAGTCATTATTGTCCTCACATTCTATAGCCCTACAAAGACCCAAACATGCTAGCTTCGGCTCTACAAAGGCCCAAAAATGAAACTCTGTCGTATCACACAACCACACTCGAAAGTAGAAAGCCTTTTTTGATCTTCTTCTTCTTCTTCTTCAATCCCACTTTAGGGTTTCTAGGGTTTATCAATCTCGCTCCCCCACATTTCAACAACCATGGCGTCTCTAGGTAAGCTAAACCTCAATCAACACCCAATCCACCTCTCCCTCACGCAATCCTCTCCGTCCTTCCTCAAAACTCCTTCGTCACTCTCCTTCAGATCCTTCAAACGCGCCTCTTCCATCAGAGCTTCTTCCTCATCGAAACACCAATCCATTCAATCACTACCTTCCCGTCTCCTCAAATCCACATGCATCACCTTCACCGCAGCCTCCGCTCTCCTCCTCGCAAACCTCCACCTCAAATCTCCACCAGCGATCGCATCCCCTCTAACACCACCCTCCGTTGAATCAATTAAACACCAAAACGACAACGTTTCGTTAGAAGAAGAGTCATCATCACTCGAAAACCATTTATCCTCCCACCCCGACGACGTAACCGCTCTACGCTCACTAATGGAGGTAAAGATCAAATCCCGGAACCTTCTAGAAGCAATAGATCTCCTAAACCGTTTAATAGCGTTAGAACCGGATGAGAAAGAATGGCCAATCTTGAAAGCTAACATCTTTAGCCACAACGGAGACTTGGAATCAGCCAAGAAGGCCTTCGAAGAGATCATATCCAAGGAGCCTCTCCGCGTGGAGGCTTACCACGGCCTCGCCATGGCTTACTCCGAGTCAGGTGATGATTTGAACGTGATTGAGGAGAGGATTCAGGAGGCGATGGTGAGGTGTAAGAAGGAGAGGAAGAATGGGAAGGATCTTAGGGATTTTAAGCTGCTTGTTGCGCAGATTAGGGTTCTTGAAGGGAAGCATGAGGAGGCGTTGAAGGTTTATCAGGAGCTGGTTAAGGAAGAGCCGAGGGATTTCAGGCCGTATCTTTGTCAGGGGATTATATACACGCTGTTGAAGAAGGGAGGTGAGGCGGAGAAGCAGTTTGAGAAGTTTAGGAGGCTTGTTCCCAGGAATCATCCTTATAGAGAGTATTTTATGGATAATATGGTTGCTACTAAGCTCTTTGCGGAGAAGGCGCAAAGAGAGATGGCTGGAACTAAGGGTTGAATTGGGATAATGATGATGATGCTTGGTAGTCTTGTAGTAAGTGTTTTGAACGTGGATGTTGATTGTGTGTTAAAGCATGTGTTGAATCTTGAATCCATGGGAGTTTAAATCTTATGCAGTGTGTTTTTGAATGTGATAATGTTGCTGCTCTTTACTTTGTTGTGTCTGTTTGTTTGCTCAGGAGTCTAAATGATTTGGCACCTCTTTAAGATGTTTAGGTCTAAGAAAGTGGTAGAATCATTAATATGTTAATTTTGGACACATGAAACTTTTATGGTTTTCCTCCAAAAGGAAGTGTGATGATGACCAAGTAGCCTTCTTCATCCATATAGTTTTTGCAGCAGTGACAGGTCCGTCTATAAACGTTTTTCATGGAACTCTTTTGACCAATGTGGTAGCTCATTCACGGTTAAGTAACACTCATCGTGGATCCCAGTTGAGAGATTGAACCCTGAATCATAGTGTAACTTCTGAGCTGTGGGTGGAGGAAGCCTGTCAAGCTCAAACTCAGTGTTTGGAAGGGTTTCTCCAAGAACCAAAGTCACTAGCTTCAGATGGGAATCGTGAAATTCAAGTCCCGACCAGTAAGAACCAAACATAGGTAGGATGCATTTAGATGTGTATAAAGTATATGTTTGTTAATTTGCACTTAATAGGGTTTGAAGTGCATAATTGAACGTTTAGAGGCGAAAATGGGGACTAATCTCAAATGTGTAAACTTTGGGTCCAAAATGAAAAGAAACAAGAGATTTAGGGACTAAGCAATGCAATTATCAGAATACAAGAAAACATTAACAGAATGTTATGTGTGTGAACCTTCTTTCGTTCTCTCAAGCTCTAAGTAAAGGTCTTTAAGCAACAAAGCTTTGGATAACTTCTGGTTTGCCTGCAGAAGATGAGTTAAGCCCTAATATACCTAACCTGAGATATGATAGTGTAAACAAAATCGCAGGTTTGTTCTTAATGTTTTTAGCATGGTAGGCATAATCCATAGTGCCTAAAGTTTCTTACAAGGAATAAGCAGATGATGAGATTGTAGCAATGATACAAGTCTGTGTCTTCCCTCCTAGAGAGACTCGTAAAGCCTTGTTATCTTACTTTTGCTTTCTCAATTTTGTTCTCTCAACTTTTGTTAAGATGGCATTGAAATGATTAGTAAGGAGATTGAACAAATGTTGTTAACAGGTAAAGTCATAGTAAAGGTATTGATAAGAAAAGTGTTTGATCGTTCTAGGAAGTTACATACTTACATAATATCAATAAATTATACCAAAAAACATTTGTGAAAAATTCGAATTATGTAATGACATGTTTAAGCATCATAAGATGACTGCATAAAGAAGAGGTAGTGTCTCATGATGAAACCTGCTAGACTAATATAACGAAAAGTAGGTGCAGTAAAGTTGTAGATCTTACAAAAAGTGAGAGAGAGATCATAAGACAGTAAAAAAAAAGAAGTAAACTAGTGATTTGGAGTTTCCATATTTGGCATTGGGAGTGCAGGAGCTGTCCAGAATTTAGCATTTTTAACCTTTGAGATGCTATCCAATATTTCTAAGGGAGTGATGTCTCCAGTCACAGTCACTTTCTTGGCAGCGAAATCTATGTTGAATGATGTCACACCTACAAAGTACTCAAATTCTTCAGTTCTAAATTTATTATAGCATCCATCATTAAGAATGAAAGAATGAAGGAATAATCACCTTGCATTCTGGACAGATGTTTCCTAACTTTTGCTTCACAGCCTCTACAGTGGAGAGACACTTTGAGAACAACCACCTGCTCCAAGAAATTGAAACTCTACTCATTAATTACTCTATATTTACATTTATGCCACTTATCATGCCAAACAAAACACCTTACCTGGTCTGAACCACTACCACTAGTCTTCTCCTCCGTCAGCAACGAAGACGGCTTTATCTCTTCACCATCAGGACATTTATGACCCGCAGACCCGGTAAGAGAACCCGGGTCGGATCCCAAAAGATACCTAGTAGAACCAGCAGGGGTTTTGATAAACTCACCACTTGCGGGTCTCGCTACACAGCTGAAACTCTTCCTCGCCAAGCTGAGGTCATTAGTGATGAGCTTCAACAACGCCGCAGCTCCACCGCTGGTGCTTTTTCGGGCAGTGACGCCGCTCCTCCTGCCCTTGTAGATCTCTACTGTTTTGTTACTGATCTCTCCGTCAAGTTAAAAGTGAATAAAATTACAAAGTTTCTTCTTCCTCAAGTGTCTAGTTTTTGATATCTTTATGCGGGTATTCTGATATAGTCGTCGACGGAGGATCTCCGGCCATCGTTAATGATCGTATTGTGGCGCCGGTCGAATGCTCGGCTGCTGAGTTTGTCGTCGTCGTCAACGATGGCTGTTGATGCTTGAGAAGCGCAAAACATACGTCCCTTCATTTTAATATTTTTGACGGTGAGAAAGAAACCAAAGAAAATAAAAAGGTAACAAAATGTTGTCAGAAGTTGAATGTAACGTTGACGAGGACGTTACTATGTGAATGGTACGAAGATATCTTTACTCTCATATATAGAAACAAATGGATTGGAATAGAGACAAAAGAGATTTAAGAGTGTAACGTTCATATGATATATTATGAGTTATTTATCAACATACTATATGCCTTATTGAGACTTCATATTATTTCCATATATATATTTTAAGTTTTGTCCTTTTTTTTTCTTAAAAAATGCTACATTTAACAAGCTACATAATACTCGAAGGCTAGTTTCAATTCATGTAATGATGTCATACGATCGTAGCTGGAACCTCAACTTGGGATAATAGATCACTTTTCACGTGGGAGTTTAGAGAGTGCACGTTGTGATTGTTTGCCCATCGGACTATTTGCATTAATTAGGTTAAGCTTCAGGAAAAAGATAGATTGTGGCATAAATCACCTAATAAGATGTCAACTAACATCTACTCAATAGATTGAGGGAAAAAGACTATAGTATCGTGATTTTTATATATCATGAACACATCATAACACACATTAATTTTCTCAGAAAACAAACAATTAAATGTTATAATTACTTGTTAATATTACATTGCATGCTCACTGTCACTGGATGCATATGCCGGGCGTGAACCGTGGGACATCCTTCACGAGGTCAAATCCTACTTCAATCTTGTTTATTTGAACCTATTTATTTTATATTTGTTTCTTTGTCTGTTTTTACTTAGTTTTATGATAAATGAAACACTGAATCTGTGTCAGAGAGACACGAGACATATGACAACGGTCTAAAAAAAATCATTTATAGGCTCTGAAAATATGGGCTTTATTTGTTGGAAATGAGGGTTAGTCATAATTTGGGTTTAACATTGAACAAAGCCTATTAGGCTAGTTGTGACCTTCCCTCGTAGCCGATGGAACCGTTGTAAAGATTTCAGCCTGAGAGAGCCGACAAGGGGAAAGACCTGGTCAGCATCCGTTGCACGGTAGTGCTAACTGTAGCGACTCATCTGAAATAATAAGAAGTGTATTCTCGTTGATTTTTGACTATAGTGACTCCTACATTCTTGTAGTTTTCTCTCCTTTTGTTGATGCAGAATATACTATGTTTTTGGTACACTGATGCAACGTTAAACATCATAAGGCAAGAACATTTGTGTCCACATTCCACATAGTTATCATGTCCAGGAAAATATTTTACGACAAGTGTTAAAAATATGAAATGAGGAACACATATTGTAAGGAAAAATCTTATCTCCGGCGAAGAAAAACAAAAACACACCGGGAGATGTAAGAGTATACAATACAATAAGTTTCTTTTGAAACTTATTGGGAGGCGCTAGTAATATATATCTACATTTGACCATATTTCAAATTAGAATTTCAAATAAAGAAGAAAATAACTTACAATTTCCTTTTATATGTTTTATATAGTTCTGGAAAGTCAGAACCTTTCAGTTAGTCATATGGTAATAGATATATTCCCTCTTTTCCTCCATCATCTGCAACAGAACACAACACCAAAACAAAGTGAAATAACATTACTTTCACTACAGAGATCTTGAATTGTGATTGTTTTGGTAGTTCTCTATTGCCTAAAAACATGAGAATTTGCATGAGTAGATACCTCAACTACTATATGTGATGTGGCTTTTAACATTGGAATGTTCTTGTAGCTAAGTATGAATACCTTTGCAAAATTTGGGTGAGCTATTGGTTTTTGAGGTGAGTGTCATCAAGAGCATCGAATTCCCAGTCATTGATTTCATCTGCCAAGGACTCTTCTCCATCGTCCAGTTCCATCTCCAGCTGTTTCTTTGCCGGGTCTTCCTTCTCTGAAGACCCTTTTCTACTGTCTGGAGTTTCGACATCATCAAATTCTTTCTGGACTGTGAAAGAAAGTGGAACCTCGGGTATCATTTTCAGGGATGGAGAGCGTGAAGAGGAAGAGGTTCTTGAAGGAGACTCAATATCTAGAAGCGGGCGTTCGATAGACTCAAACTCTTCTTTTGTTTTGTCTAATGCCTCAAATAGCTCTTTAACTCTTTTATCGTCTTGCCTGGATAAGATAACACCAAACCATGAGGGAGAGAGAGAGTTTTTGTTCAATACTTTTGCAATCACCAAGTTGCCGTTACATATGACTATTATAACTTTTAAAAAGGAATAGGCATGCTTGTGTAATTTTTACCTGGAGATACCTTCCGTTTGCGAATAGAATGGCTTTTTCATCGCATCCACCACACTTAAGGTTGTTACAAACTGGTAAAGTTGGAATAAAGCTTAGGAATGTATATTTTATCATTCAAATTGAGAGAACTGGTCTACAAGTCTATTTCATATAGCAGTGTACCTTAGCTTCGAGATCCAGATACTCCTTCTCAAGTTTTTTTCTTGAATCGATTGGCTTTGTATCCTTATCTTCTGTCTTTTTTTCTGATTCTAACCTGAAATTCCCCCATAAACAGACAAAATAGAGCTATCAGCCTAACTATGGTCAAATAAAACTGTACAGGAACACAGAAGTGGTATGTTACCCTTTACTTGGTTCCAACAGTTCGACCAGTCCTCTGATCTTGGGTATAGAAGGATCCAATTGTTCCTGAGTTGATGTTAAAATATGAATGTGAGCTTACAGTCAGTAAGCAAGTGAAATTCATTCAGAATAAGGTCCGACAAGTTAGTAAGTGGAATCAATTTATCGTATGATAACTGTCACTAACTTTGGGGTAAGCATCAAGAATTACCTTATAGAAAGAGAGGAGTTGAACAATCAGGTCGATGAAATGGTCACCATATCTCTCCATCTCCCCACTTGAGTATCAATCCATGGTGGAAGGAATTGAAAAATATGGATCACATACAAAGTAATTAAGGAAGCAGCATAACGGCTGAGTTCTTTTCATTGTGGGGATAAGACATACCTCACTTGTATTTCCTTTTGTTGAGCAAATTTAGACTGGATAATCCAGGTATCTTCCAAAAACTTGATCCACTTATTTACAACATCCGCCTCTACTCGGCACGAACATATCGAGCGAGTTAGCTCGTCTTCCTACACCATAAGCCAGCCAAAAAAAAATCACAAACCCTACTTATGTTTCATCTCTTTAATAAGAACAAGTCGTTAGCTACCTTTGACTTCAGGTGCATAAGTATTTCATTACTTGCATTATCGAACTGCTCTCTTTCTTCTCTAGCATTGTGAAGGCGAGCCCGGGCAGACGTTATTGAGGTGTTAACCTTCAAAAAAAAAACACAAACTCTGTAATATGACCTACAATTCTAAATCCCAACCAGTTCAGTAAATTTCTCTGGAATAAGTTCTTATGGAAGTTACCTTCTTCAGCTCAGCTTCAAGATCTTCCTTCTTAATCTCAAGGTTTTTTAATTCTGCAGCTACATCCTAAAAATCAGATTTGTGTATAATAAGCATACGTAATACAAAGCGACTGAGACAATATTTGATTACCAAGGTCAAAGTGATTAGGGGCTGCAAACCTTTTCCCGCTGGCTGACTTCATCAGTTTTGGAAAGTCGGTAGCTAAGAGCTTCTTCCTTCTGGCTCCTGCTTTTAGATACCGAAACAAAGATGCATGTGAACTATGATAGTACAGAAAGTAGATAACTACTTAAATTACCAGGTTACATTTGCTATCACCTATGATCCACTATTCGTTTTTCTTCTTTCGAGGTAGAATTGAGTAAAGATTCTGACAGAACTTTCAGTTTATCAACCTGCCAAATACAGAATGAACTTAGATAAGTTTTGACCCCCCTTTTAAAATCAACACCAACATTTAGATGAGGAATTAGGTATATGAGGTCGTATACTAGTGACATCAAGGCAATAATAAAGAACATAGTTAAAATTATGCCAAATAAATCTTTGTATTCCGATATTTTGGAAAACAAGCTAATAATGAGTCTTTATGGTAAACAAGTTGTGAATGAGACAATTACAAACAAACCAGCAAAAGTTCTAAGTTCTGAGTTGTGTGCAGTTTTTACTTTCTCATTGTGGTGTTGAAGGGAATCACCATTTCTTAATGATTTTTTCTTCAGCAACAGTGCTTCTAGCTTCGAGAATGTGCGAACCTGCTCAAGAATTTCTCGGAGAGCCTGTAGCAACCCAAATTATTCAGTACACGATCCAGAAATGCATCTAAAAATCATGAAGATACTTGGGAAATAAAGCAATGCAGCAAAAATTTTCTTATAAGCCTTATGGTAATTCCTTTCTACAATATAATCAACGTAAAGCACCGTTCTATACCAGATAAGTAAAAGCAACAATTGATGCAAATCCGATATCAGATCTAATATGAAGAAGGCTCGGACCGAACAATGAGGCAGTGAAAGTAGAGACAGATAATCTCACCTCAGTTGATGCAGCATTGGTTCCAGTGGTTTCTGAACTATCGTCATTTGAAGTCTTCTCAAGAACCTTGACCTTCGTCTTATCAAGTTTCTCCATCAGAGCGTGTGCTTCAGTATCTATTCTGAGACATGGACAAATGAGAATTGAAACTAGAGAAAGTAAAATTTTAACACTTAGACATTGTTAAACTCCACGCAAAGCTTCAGCAAGGAAAATTCAGAAATACCTTGCAAGATCAGCACTGATTTTTAGCCCTCCAATTGCACCTTGGACATAATGCAAAAGTTCCTCGCGCTTTGCCTAGAAAGAAGGAGAGATATAAAGAGGCATTACGAAGTGCAAAATCTCTACCGGTTTGTTGAAGTACATTTAAATCCAGTGGCCTTATTCATCTTGCAAGCTATCAATATATGTACTATGACGTTATCTGGTCAACAATCCATACTAAAAAGAAACAGAGTATACGTGACAGAACACCTATTATACAAAATCTAACACATACTTACCAGCACTTCATCCTTGTATTTCGAAAACACCACTGCCAAGTCCTGCACATTTTGAATCACTGCTTCGTGAACTTCCTTCTCTCCTGACAAAGAGAGCCTGAATGTATCAACCAATGACCATATGAGCTGAAATGCAAGTTTTCTTATACCCGTAAATTAACTAAAACTACAACTTTCAGTGGATGACAAAGAATCACCCAAACAGTTCCAGAAGCAGCTGGACTTCTTCCTCATTTGGTGCTTCCAGAATCTGATTCACACAGAAAAAAAAAAAACTTAAACTCAGTACATGAACAATAAAAAAGTTAGCCTAAATTGCTAACTCAATGCGCTATAACGGAAGAAAGATGATCATCTGGAAAACACATGATAAGTAACGACTAATGCTACCAGATCAGATCAGCATATCAATACAATGCCGAATCTAAGCTTACAGTGTCACTCTCTAACTTACCATAGACAATACCATCCCTTCAAGAGCCTCACTATGAAGAAACACGTCTCGAAAAGTCATCGGCTCACCGGGAAGTCCAGGATCAACGTAATATACCTATTCCAATTTCACAAACAAGAACATAAGCCATGATAACCAACCAAAGAACATGAGAGATTTGATAACCACTCACGGTGCTGAGATTCTTGGGAGAATCCTTGGCGTCTTCAGAACTAGGCTGATGATTCTGACCTAGAGAATCGCAAGACATTCTCTCAACCTCTCTAAGAGCAACAAGCCATCTTCTCAACAACTGCACTCTCTCGCCGCCTCTGGAAGAAACCGAAACCTCTTCTAATCGCTTCACCTCGAGGCTAAAGCTCTTCACGTTCCTCGATCCCTAAAATCAAACACACATGATCGGCGGTTAGGAAGGAATTGATTTAAGAGGAGATTTAAGGAGTTTACGTACGATGCGATCTTGGATGAGTTTCGCGCCTTCGGAAACGGCGTTTCCGGCGGTGAGGACGACGGAATCGGCGTAATTGCGAACGGTGCGGGTGAGATTGTTCTTCCCGCCGACTTCGACGGCTTTGTGAACCGCCGATCTCAGCCACGACATTTCAGATTCTTCTTCGCGAAATCGATGGTTCGATTTTTTTCTATTTATGTGAATATTATTTGAGAGGATTTGAGAAAGAATAAACGGGGTGCGATGGGAGAGGGGAACAAGTCAGACGCAGAGAAGCTTCAATATTTTCCCGGGCGATTCGATGTATTGTCTTTCTTTTTTTTCTTTTTCTTTTAATTTCTTTTGTTTTTTATTTATTGTTTGGTCTTAATTTTATTTTAAGTTTCCTATTTTTTGGCTATTAATTGTTTAATTACCAGATTATTCAGATCCACGTAGCTTTTTTTTTTCTTAAACATTATCAACTTCTAATAGTTACTATTTATCTACTTTTTGTGATATGTTCTGTATTCTTTTGTCTTTATCAGGCAATTTTTTCTTATATATCTTCTAGTATACTGTTTAACAATACCAAATACTGATATTTTATGGGGGGCATAACTATCACCATTAATTTTGCAACAAACTTGAATATTTTCATCCTAAAAAATTAGTTGACAAATGAGTTGGGTCCCTGGACCTCTGCATTGGCCTGTCATCACAAGGTACATGTTGAACTTTATGTTTGAACCGAGTTCGGTCGTGTATTAGTGAAGTGAGTGACTGGACTCGTCGATGAGTTATTACGAAGGTATGAGTAGTTCTAAGCAAAGAAAAGAACTTTATTTATAATCGGGAAGTTAGTACAAAGAGAGTCTCCGGTGCTCAGAGAGCTTGACCGGAGGTAACGTACGGACTAGTCGGTGACAACAAAGTAAATAAGGTAAGGAAGTCCTAATCTGAGTCGCCGCCTAGTGAATCTATTTTTCGGATCCCCTCTTCGTGCTTTCCTCCTCGCCTTTTATAACTTAATCCTCTCACTCAAACTTGACCTAAATTGGTGCCGATTAATGGACCCTTGTGTTGGGCCTTTTTTCGATTCGGCAGGATGAACTCTTCACTCGTACGGACGCCACTTGGGTATTAACCGATTCCGTGTCAATATTGGTGATTTATCCCTTATTGTACCAAATATAATTCCATGTGGGCCCTGAGAGGTGGGTACAACCCACCTCCTACACTTTATATCACGAAGAAGAATAGTTTCAGCCAACTCTCTTATCATCTTATAATCAAATCTCAAATCAAGGTATTTGGTGATGGTATATAAATACTGGTCTTTTTCCCTGGACAGTTTCATTATAGAAGATTTGTAGAGACCACTGGAAAATTAGAAACTTGTAACGAGAGGACATTGAAAAGGATACAAAAGTTCGTTTGCTTTTTTTATGTGTTTTGAACCCGAGTTGATACTTCTTTAATATCTTGTGTATATGAAAATGTGACGATATGCAATTCAGTTTCAAAGACTCCTTAATGTGAGTAAGTTACAAAATGTTTGCTACATGTTTTGATTTGTTCAGTAACTGTGATCTCATCTACTGAGTATTTGACATTTTATACACCCTATTTTAGCAATCTATGCTCACAATATCGTCTCAACGTCAGAGAGCATAACATCTTTTATTTTGTCAACGAGGATCTTATCACACTGAACTTTTTTCTTTCTATTATTACATCAAGTTGAACTTTTCTAACATCAACAGTTTAAAACGTTTATTAAACCTTAGTTTGTGTTCGTATTTACCTAGTTGTTATTAAATTTTCTTTTACAAAGAGCAAACATCCGAAAACATATTAATTAAGTTTACGTAACTAATAACGGATCATCTCTGCAATAAGTCAATAACTACAAGTATATAAACATAATTTTGTATGTTCTTTCTATTAGACACAAAGTGTCCCACATCGGAAATTGGAAGGGATTCTTAGTGATATATAAGATAGATGGGTCAATCCACTTATCACCAATTGGTTTTAAGTTGGAAGTCCATCTAACTTAATATGGTATCAGAGCCCACGATCCACGCAGTCCAACCCGATCTTTATCGATCCAGCCCAAAATCGGCTCATCGATCCTTGCCCGAACATTCCGAGATTGATGCCAGATAGCTATCATCTCGAGGGATCTTATTAGACACAAAGTGTCCCACATCGGAAGTTAGAAGAGATTCTTAGTGATATATAAGATATAGATGGATCAATCCAGGTTTTAAGTTGGAAGTCCATCTAACTTAATACTTTCTTGGTTATATGGGTAAGTTTATACCATATTTGCCATTGATCTGGAACAGCCTCAGTCTCTATAAGAACATTCTTGTTCGGTCAAGTTAGCTACCGAAACCTTTTGATTCTAGTTTGAAACATTGGTCTAAAGAGCTTTAAGTCAACCTTTTTTATTGGGAAAAAAAAACTGAAAGGAACAGGCGTCATAAAACAAATATAGAGTATAGTATGTTTTTTTTTGTATGTGAGTCATGAGATTTCTTGTGAGAATAGGGAAATGGAATGAACGGATTTAGGTCAATATATGAAGCGTATTGTATAAAGTCTTGAAAAAACAGATATAACAGCCATACCAAACGTTTATATGCCTACCTCTCCACGTTATTATGCTTATCTTATGCAATTTAATTCGGTATTATATGCCTACTTCTTCACGTTAAGCTTTTATTATCTAATTTGTAATGAGAAATTAGGGGTTTTCGTGTAGCTTGCTCTTACTATTGTAGCCGTGTCCACATTTTATTCCAGTGACTTTTCTTATTCATTCCTTTAGTCATAACAACTTCTCGAAAAATATCTACTGCTCACATGTGCTGCATTACATACCATTTTTTTTTAGCAAGTGCTGCATTACATACCTATGTTATGTTATTACACATAAGCTTACTTATTGAGAAATTTCTTATTGTTCAAGTTGCACTTATCCTCATATACGTTAATTTTATTTTTTCATATAAAATCAATTGTAATGAGAGGAGTGATCCATATTTCATGTAATAATGATATTTATTTCTTGATTTCTTTTTTACAAAGTAATATTTTATAACCTTTTTTTTATGGAAAATTCTAGTAAATATCTTTTTCTTGATAAACATTTTGCCACATCAAGTGGTTGATTCTGAACATGAAAGACGATGCTAGGATTAGTAGAAAGTGTAGAACAATGTTTTCTATTACAACTTAACTGAAGATATATTTCAGTAAAGAAATACAAATATCAGCTTATCAGCTGAAAATTAAATAAAAATAAGAAAATAGCAACATCCTTATTCTTCAAATTACATGATAGTTTTCAAAAATTGATGATAAGACAACAATTTTATATTGTTATTATCGTAAGATAGGTAGGAGTTTGCCCATTTAAGCACGATTTGGACAGCTACTCTTTTTTTTTTTTTTTTTTTTTTTTTTTTT